GAACTAAAAGAAGACAAGCAAAACAACAGGGTGCAACGTGGGAGAGGACATGGATGTGGGAGGCCACCCAGAGGAATTTGTTTTTTTTCATTTCAGTGGGACTGTATCAGGGCAAGAGGGGATGTTGCTGCCATCACCGCAGAAGAGATGCTACATCCTGGGCACAGTGGAGATGTATTTGGGAGGTGGAATCTAGACACTGGGTGAGTGGCCGGTACCCGACAGGCAGGTGGCACGAATGGCTCAGGGAGTCTGGCCTGAGCCCGAGGGTGGGTGAGGAAGGTGGCGGAGAGGGAGATTCTGGGAAGAGCCTGGGGTTCTGTTTGAGCCCTTGCTGAGTTTGAGATGCTTGTGTCATCCAGATAGAGACATCTCAACCCAGCGGTCTAGAGCTCAGACAGAACGTCTGGCCCGAAGACACAGATTTGGGGTCCGCAGCATACAGGGGCATCGATGGCCATGGGAAAGGATGGGCTCAGCCTGGGAGAGAAGAGGGCCCTGGGTCAACCAGGGAGGTCCCCACTCCCAGGTCAGGGAGAGGAGGCAGAGTCGGAAGTGACTCACAAAGAGCAGCAGGAGGGAGCACGGAGGAAAGATTGAGAGGAGTGTTTGGGAGGACTGTGTGGCCAGCAGTGTCCCCCGCTGCCGAAAGCAGGAGGGGGTGGTGACCGCCCTTCTTCAGGGGCTGCTGAGGGGACTCAGTGACTTAAGGCAGCGAAAGCAAGCACTCCGTCCAGTACCGGGCACATTCTGAGTGCTTAGTAAATGTTATCTGTCATCATCACCAAACCCCTTAAGCTCAGTGGGGAGCCAGCAGGGAACAGAGGACACCTGCATGTGGGTGATTGAGGGGGTTGGATGGGAGGGGCCGCTTACAGAGGGCAAGGAGACCACCAGGGGCAACAGAGGGAAGCCCTGGCCGCCGAAGGAACTTGGGGGTGGGTGGGACCCACTACCCCACTTATCTAAGCCTGGAGCCACAGGAACTGGGGCTGGGGCCTGCAGCAGAGACCCTGGGCACCAGAGAGGGGGCTGGGCTGAGGCCATATTACTCTAGTCTCCTCTTGTCCTGCTGAGCCCCCAAAGCAGCCTGTGGGCAGGGGCCCCTGGGAGGTTTCAGCGCATGAGGTTGGTCATGGAGCAAGGAGGACAAAGAGGCAGAGTGGACCAGCAGGGTAGACTTTGACAGTCCAGCTCTTGGGGCCTGCCCCTGTCTAGCCTCATCTCCTGCATCGCTATTCCCAGCACCCCATCTCCCTAGAATCCACCAGCATGCTTCCCTGCCTCCTGGATAGAGTTCTCCTGTAAGTCCAAGGAGACCATGACCTTTTCGGTCATTCCAGATCGTTTCTGCTGCCCAACGGGTCTCCCCACTGCCACTTCTGCCCTCGTCCCTCTTCTACCTGGTGCCAGAGCTGCCTTTTTTGTTGTTGTTGTAAGTTTGTTTATTTCAAGAGAGAGAGAGAGAGAGTGCGAGCCGAGTAGGGACAGAGAGAAAGGGCAGAGAGAGAATCCCAAGCAGGCTCCGCACTATCAGTGCAGAGCCCTACACGGGGCTCGAACCCGCAAACTGAGATCATGACCCCAGCTGAAATCAAGAGTCCGATGCCCTGCGTTGGGCTCTGTACTCTCAGCACGGAGCGTGCTTGTGATTCTCTCTCCCTCCTGCTCACACGTGCGTGTGTGCTTTCTCTCTCTCTCTCTCTCAAAATAAATAAATAAATAAACTTAAAAAAAAAAAAAACAAAACAATAAACCTGATTTCAACCATGCTACTCCCCTGCTTAAAAAGCCTCCAGTGGCTTCCCTTTGCTTGCTGGCCCCCAAGGTCCTCTGTGCCTCAGAGGTGCTGAGTTCTTGACTCTGCAGGGAATGAGGGTGGGGTCAATCCTTTTTGTCTAGGGTTCTTGCCTCTAGGAAGCATTTCTTTACATCTTTCTCTAAAACAGCCACCTCTGGCCCTCTGGGTCCCATCACCTATTTGTTTCCTGCTGGTATTCATCACAGCCTGAAACATTCTTCTCTCCCTCCTCCTCCTCCTCCTCCTCCTCCTCCTCCTCCTCCTCCCCCTCCTCCTCCTCCTCCTCTTCCTCCTTCTTCTTTTCATGTTTATTTATTTTGAGAGAGAGCGTGCACAAGCATGAGCAGGGTAGGGGCAGAGAGAGAGGGAGAGAGAATCCCAAGCAGGCTCTGCGATAGCAGCTCAGAGCCCAACTCGGTGAGATCATGACCTGAGCTAAAATCAAGAGTCGGACGCTCAACCCACTGAGCCACCCAGTCACCCTTGGAACATTCTTCTTTATAGGTGTGTTTACTTTTTTTTTTAAGTTTTTTCTTAATGTTTATTTATTTTTGACAGAGAGAGAGAGAGAGAGAGAACGCGAGTGGGGGAGGGACAGAGAGAGAGGGAGACATAGAATCTGAAGCAAGCTCCAGGCTCATCAGCACAGAGCCCGACGTGGTGATGCCCAACCTGACCTGAGCCGAAGTCGGACGCTTAACCGACTGAGCCATCGAGGTGCCCCTATAGGTGTGTTTACTTCTTTATTTTCTGTCTCCCAGCCATCCCAGGAAGGCACACCTTTGTCTCCAGATCCTAGCACAGGGCCTGGCACACAGAAGGTGCTGAAGTTTGTTGACTGGCTAGGTGGAGTGAGCCACAAGAACACATCATTTACCACGCACTTTATACCTTTACATTATTACATCCTCCTAGTGACCCCGGGAAGGGGGTACTGAGGCTTTGAAAGATGAAACAGTTAGACTCAGGTCATCAGGTGAGTCAAGTGTGGGAATGGAACTCAAGGCTGCCTGATCCGAAACATACACAAGTACTCTTGGGAGGGAGGAGTGAGAAGGGTCCCACAAATGTCCTAAAGATAGGTGCGTGGGGCCCTGAGGGCAATGATGAGCTCCACTGGGATGGGACAAACATGAGGCAGGGGACCCAGGCCCAGGAAATGTTCAGACCTGCTTAAATTTAGGGGCGGCTCTGTGTGGAGGGAGTTCTTGAGGCCCAGAGAAGGCAAGGGACTTGGCCAAGTTTACACCGCCGGTCAAGAGCAGAGCCAGGACTCAAACCCAGGGCTCCCAATGCCTCATTAGGGGAATTGGCAGGACAGAAGGGAGGCAGCCTGCGTAAGGAAGTTATATTTCAGGAGGCAGCGGAGCACAGCGGTGGTTTTCTGGCCTTAGATTTTCCTGGCTGCATCCTGTACCAACTATGGCAATTGGGAAAACTCTTCAACTTCTCTATGTCTCAATTGCCTCACTGTTAAACAGGGATGCAAATGAATTGGCATTTAAGAACCCCTTAGTGGGTGCTGGCCACGTGGTAAGTACTCAGTATATGTTAACTCCTATCATTGTGATCTGGGTCTGGGAACCATGATGGGGAGGTGCTTGTGGGGAGGTGGGGTACAACCACTAGAAGAGGGGCTCTGTGCCACCTTCAGAGTTCTGAATGTCTTTAGGAAGCTTCTAGGCTCTGAAGACATGACTCTGGGGGGTAGGGGAGTGGGGAGCTACGCATCAGTTCTGAAGGTGAGGGTGGAAAGTTTCAGAGGCCTGGAGAGGACGATTCTGCCCCGAAGCATCTCTCTCCCAAGACACTTTGGCGAGAGTGGCTTTCACTGAGTCCCTCCCATGTGCCACATACTGTGACAAAGGGATGGGATTGGAAAATGAAATGATGCTTTCCTCATGCTTGATCAATCAGACAGCATCTTCGGCCCTGCTACTCCTCTCCACCTTTCAAACACAGGAAAAGCCCACTGAGAATCAGGCTCTAGAGGTACACTGCCTGGATGGAGTCCCAGCCCTGTCACATCCGAGCAGAGTGCTCATGGAGAAATCTCTTAACCTGTCCAGGCCTCAGTTTCCTCATCTGTAAATTAGAGATGATGATAAGACCTAATTCACGGTGTCGTCCCGAGCATCAAGCGAGATAGGTCGTGAAAAGCCCTTAGCACAGTGCCCACCCCGAAGAAAACATACACTGCAAGTTGAGTAGTAGTATTTTTGTCACTGTATCATCAAGCCCTTTCCTGTTCCACAGAAATGTCAGGTCAATTAACATTACAGTTAAAAACAAGAAGAAAAGCTGATACCTTTCGGGTGCCTGTTAGTGTGAAGATACAATAACATAAATTATATTTTTCAGAATCACAGCTATGCATCATAGACCACACTTGGTACCATGTGAACCTGACCTCCAAATGAGGCAGTCAAGGGTGGCTGTTATTGAGTTGTGCGAGTATATCTGCCACCATGGTGTTTGCTGCCACTGAGGAATGGCCTAACTACTGCCATGTCAGCAGTGCCACAGGTAGGGACAGATGTTGGGCTGGCTTACATGAGGGTGTCATAGATTCATTGGTGAGGGAATAGTCTGAAAGAGTCCAAGCCCACTGCTTCCCAGACAACTGGTCTGCTTTCCATGCCTACTATGAATAAGCTTTACCACCAGCTTTTCTAGGATCTTCTTTGTACCCCTGTCAAAGACTGGCAAGGGGCTGAGACTGCCCCCCACTTGCAGAGTAAGAAGTGAGCCCACCATTGTCTTGTGCATGCCGGCAGAAGACATGAGATTCTTGGGTCAGAGACAAAGGACTTCATTACTCAGGGCACAGTAAACAGTGTGATCATGAGCCTATTGACATTAGTCCCCTTGTCCCTAAGTCCCATGGAGGTGGCATCAATGGGCCAGATAGATGTCTGCACACAGTGGGTTGCACTAGGGAGAGGGCTCTAAATTTAGAGAACCCAAATCTTTTCTTGTTTTTAATATATTTTTTTTTGGTCAAGTTAGCTAATTTACAGCCTATACAGTGTACTCTTGGCGTCGGGAGTAGATTCCTGTGATAGATCACTTACATACAACACCCAGTGCTCATCCCGACAAGTGCCCCCCTCAATGTCCATCACCCATTTTCCCTGCCCCCACCCCCATCATCCCTCAGTTTGTTCTCTGTACCTAAGCGTCTCTCTTTTTTATTTATTTATTTATTTATTTATTTATTTATTTACATCCAAGTTAGTTAGCATATGGTGCAACAATGATTTCAGGAGTAGATTCCTTAGTGCCTCTGACCCATTTAGCCCATCCCCCCTCCCAGAACCCCTCCAGCAACCTCTATCTGTTCTCTATATTTAAGAGTCTCTTATGGTTCGTCCCCCTCCCTGCTTTTATAGTATTTTTGCTTCCTTTCCCTTATGTTCATCTGCTTTGTATTTTAAATTCCTCATATGAGTGAAGTCATATGATATTTGTCTTTCTCTGACTGACTGATTTTTCTTAGCATAATACCCTCTAGTTCCATCCGCATAGTTGCAAATGGCAAGATTTCATTCTTTTTGATTGCCAAGTAATACTTTAGTGTGTGTGTGTGTGTGTGTGTGTGTGTGTGTGTGTGTGTATACCACATCTTCTTTTTTTTTTTTAATTTTTTTTTCAACGTTTATTTATTTATTTGGGACAGAGAGAGACAGAGCATGAACGGGGGAGGGGCAGAGAGAGAGGGAGACACAGAATCGGAAACAGGCTCCAGGCTCTGAGCCATCAGCCCAGAGCCTGATGCGGGGCTCGAACTCACGGACCGCGAGATCGTGACCTGGCTGAAGTCGGACGCTTAACCGACTGCGCCACCCAGGCGCCCCGTACCACATCTTCTTTATCCATTCATCTGTTGATGGACATTTAGGCTGTTTCCAATGTTATAGCACTGCTATAAACATTGGGGTGCATGTGCCCCTTTGAAACAGCACACCTGTATCCCTTGGATAAATACCTAGTGGTGTAATTGCTGGGTCGTAGAGTAGTTCTAGTTTTAATTTTTTGAGGAACCTCCATAACTTTTTTCCAGAGTGGCTGCACCAACTTGTATTCCCACCAACAATGCAAAAGAGATCCTCTTTCTCCGCATCCTCACCAACATCTGTTGTTGGCTGAGTTGTTAATGTTAGCCATTCTGACAGGTACGAGGTGGTATCTCATTGTGGTTTTGATGTGTCTTTCCTTGATGAGTGATACTGATCATTTTTCGTGTGTCAGTTGGCCATCTGGAGGTCTTCTTTAGAGAAGTGTCTATTCATGTCTTTTGCCCATTTCTTCACTGGATTCTTTGTTTTTTGGGTGTTGAGTTTGATAAGTTCTTTGTAGATTTTGGATACTAACCCTTTATCTGATATGTCATTTGCAAATACCTTCTCCCATTCCGTCGGTTGCCTTTTAGTTTTGCTGATTGTTTCCTTCTCTGGCAGAAGCTTTTTGTTTTGATGAGGTCCCCATAGTTCATTTTTTGCTTTTGTTTCCCTTGCCTCCAGAGACATGTTGAGTAAGAAGTTGCTGCAGCTGAGGTCAAAGAGGTTTTTGCCTGCTTTCTCCTCGAGGATTTTGATGGCTTCCTGTCTTACATTTAGGTCTTTCACCCATTTTAGGTTTATTTTTGTGTCTGGTGTAAGAAAGTGGTCCAGACTCATTCTTCTGCATGTCGCTGTCCAGTTTTCCCAGCACCACTTGCTGAAGAGACTGTCTTTATTCTATTGAATATTCTTTCCTGCTTTATCAAAGATTAGTTGGTGTACTTAAGAGTCTCTTATAGTTTGCCTCCCTCTCTGTTTGTAACTTTTTTTCCCTTCCCTTCCCCCATGGTTTCTGTTAAGTTTCTCAAATTCCACATATGAGTGAAAACATATGGTATCTTTCTCTGACTGACTTACCTCACTTAGCACAATACCCTCCAGTTCCATCCGCGTTGTTGCAAATGCCAAGATTTCATTCTTTTTCATTGCCGAGTAGTATTCCAGTGTGTGTGTGTGTGTGTGTGTGTGTGTGTGTGTGTACATACACATCTTTATGAACCCGCATCTTTTCTTTAAAAAAATTTTTTTTAACGTTTATTTATTACTGAGAGACAGACACAGAGCGTGAGCAGGGGAGGGGCAGAGAGAGGGGAGACACAGAATCCGAAGCAGGCTCCGGGCTCCCAGCTGTCAGCACAGAGCCCGACGCGGGGCTCAAACTCATGAACTGTGAGATCATAACCTGAGCCGAAGTTGGTCACCCAACCAACCGAGCCACCCAGGCGCCCCTGAACCCACATCTTTTCTAATGGCCAGCAAGCATGTCTGCCCTTTGCTCTGGAGGAGACATTGTTTCCATCTTCTCTTCCATGGCTACTCACTGTACCAACATCCTTGAGAGGAGTCCAGGACAAGGGAGATAGTCCCTCTCTTGCAAAATGTGCAGAAACTTAAGAGACTCCCGGAGAACTATTTTGCAATAATAACCAATCCTCATTTCTGAGCTTGATTTTGGCTGATTTTCCCGTGAGGGTACCACATCATCAGTAAATCTGATCAACAGAGTCTGGGACCAAATCTGTTCAATTTGTCACACACAGCATTACGTAAGGCTTCTCTCAACAGGAATTGAAGCAGCAGAATGAGGTCAATTTATAGTACTGACCTCAACCTCAACCATGCCCCTCAGGGTCCTAGTTCAACAGATTCATTAAGCATCAGATCTCCCTTAAAGAGCGAGGTTGCAGGGTGACCAGTTAAGCACCCAACTCTTGATCTCAGTTCAGGTCTTTTTTTTTTAATGTTTATTTATTTTTGAAAGAGAGAGACAGAGCGTGAGTGGGGAGGGGCAGAGAGAGAGGGAGACACAGAATCTGAAGCAGGCTCCAGGCTCCGAGCCATCAGCACAGAGCCCGATGTGGGGCTCGAACTCATGAACCGTGAGATCATGATCTGAGCTGAAGTTGGATGCTTAACTGAATGAGCTACCCAATCGTCCCCCAGTTCAGGTCTTGATCTCAGGGTCTTGAGTTCAAGCCCCACATTGGACTCCATGCTGGGTGTGAAACCTACTTGAAAAAAAAAAAAAAAGGCAGGGTGGGGATGGTTGCTTGCTTCTAGGTATCAACCTTTCCACTTGACCAGAAGTGTTAACCCACGTAGGTATAGCAGAATATATCACAATTGCACGGACTCTGCCCCGGCTGGCAAGGAAGAAGTCCAGGGAAATTCTATCCTCCATAGCAACACGACGTAGTGAATTAAAACTCTCCTAAAAGATTTCTAGGCCAAGGTGGTGCCACTGATCACTTCAACTAAAGTCGGATAAATTAAAAAAAAATTTTTTTAACGTTTTTATTTTTGAGAAAGTGAGAGACAGAGCATGAGCAGGGGAGGATAGAGAGAGAGGGAGACACAGAATCGGAAGCAGGCTCCAGGCCCTGAGCCGTCAGCACAGAGCCCAACGCGGGGCTCGAACTCACGGACCGCGAGATCATGACCTGAGCCGAAGTCGGACGCTTAACCGATTGAGCCACCCAGGCGCCCCAGAAAGTCGGATAAATTTGAAGTCATCCTGTTTTCAAGAAAGAGGCAAGTTAACATTTAACTTCCACACAAGTCATGCAGTCTCGAGGATGCACATGGTGCTTCTGGGAAGAAACCTAACCCCCCCCCCGCCCCACCCCCCCGCCAAGTGGGACCTGCATCAATTGGGGGCACAACTTACAGCGCCTCCAATGTGGCTTCTCCACGCGCTAGTCGCCTTAGAGTGCCCAGTCCAAGTCAAATAATGGAGTCTAGTCTTTGTTTTCGGAGGGACTGATTGAGGGCCCAACCTCTCTGGGTTGTCCTTGCCACCAGCCAGATGGCATTCATCTACCCCAGGGAATGTCTGAGTGAGGACGGCTACAGGCTTGGGGATGAGGAAGACACCTGGAGGTGCTGGTGTTGGCAGGTGTTTTATGTGGGAAGCAGAGGAGCCGAGGCCACCCTCTGCTGCTCCCGGCCTCTCAGCTCAAGAGGAATGACAATCAAAGCAAGGTCAGAGCTGCCGTGTGGACGATAACAGACCCAGCAGGCAGTTAAGTTTAAGGCACTCGTGACAGTTTGCGTGCATTGGACCAGGATGTTTTCCTTAGTAAGGGAGGCTCCAGGTGCCTTGGAAAGGCAAAGATCACTAATGTCTCTCTCTCCCTCATGGCTCCTGCGTCTGAAGTGCTCCCTCCGAGCTGCCCAGGCGGTTGTTTCACTTCCATTGTTACAAGATCAATCTGTTCTGTTCCAGTAAACAGAACGTCACCTTTTTCCAATCATTCCCTACTGACGTCTTTCATCTGGGAGGGTCTGGTGCAAGAAGGACAAGGACATTTAAAAAAAAAATTTTTTTTTAACGTTTTTATTTTTGAGAAGTGAGAGAGCATGAGCAGGGGAGGAGAGAGAGAGAGGGAGGCACAGAATCTGAAGCAGGCTCCAACCTCTGAGCTGTCAGCACAGAGTCCGACGTGGGGCTCAAACTCACAGACCATGAGATCATGACCTGAGCCGAAGTTGGATGCTTAACTGACTGAGCCACCCAGCCGCCCCTGACAAGGACATTTTTATAAAACTTACAGGGACTCATTAGGTCCCCCAGTCGACATTTGGGCCACTTCTGAGGACTCAAAGAGAGAACACTCCAGTTGTTTTCACGATCCAGGACCACATCTGTCCAACAAGAGAACCTGGGTGGTTGAACCACAATTCAATGTAAATCTCGTAGGTCCCCTTTGAGCTGCCACCGAAGAAATGCAGCAACCAGGCTGGGGCTAGTGTTAGGGGAAACAAAGAATCGTGTATTTTTTTGTTTTCTAGAGATTTTACACCAAACATGGGGCTCGAACTCACAACCTTGAGATCAAGAGTCGCCCGCTGTACCAACTGAGCCAGCCAGGTGCCCCAGTGACTTTTTAAAACTGGTCTATCTAAATCCCACCCCTCTCATCCTGATCATTACAAAGGACATAGCCAAGAGGAGATGGTCCCATCCTGGGGACAGCCACATTCAGTGACTGAACTGCTGTACTGAGTTGTGTGGACCGGGGGGAGGGCCAGAAATCTTTTTGAGCTTATTATTTCTTTAAGTAAACTCTACCCGCAACGTGGGGCTTGAACTCCCCACCCCAAGATCAAGAGTTGCATGCTTTTTGAGTTTAGTTTTGAGGAAACTACTTCAACACTCAACAGTGCCACCTGCCTGCGGATGATAGCATGAAAGGGCCACCAAATCCCTAGACCATCAGCCCCTTGTTGCGTGGCTTTTGGGATAACAGTTGCCCTGTTCCTACGCTACAAATCATCCAGAAAGTAAAATGCACAGATGAGTCTCAAGAACCACAATGATGTGGCCAAACCTGCCTGGCTGGACTGGCACAGCACCACCGTACCCTGACAAAGGCACCGCCGATAGCCCCAAGAAGGAGTGAAAGGTTCTATGTAGTCAATTCCCCCGGAGAGAACAGGGGCAACACTACCTACGCTGTGGCCTCCCTCGTCGTAGGACACACAGATGAACGTTCGGCAGGAGTCACAAGTTTGGCAGGGAGTGGTGGCCTCTGTACCAGAAGCCTAGAATCTTCTACTTTGTGCCCACTCTATGGTGGTGGACGTGTTGCGTATGATGAAAGACCCAGCAAGAAATGGAGACAACCTGGGTGATGCAGGACCGATCAACAGCTTGATTCTTGCCAGTCTCGTTAGAGAATGGCCCAGAGCATGGGCAGCTACAGGAGCGATCTGTATTGAGCAGCCGTGGTTTGTTTCCACAGTTAGCTGAAAGCATTGCCATGCGAAGCCCCCTATTGGGCGGCAGGGTTACTATCACTGGCATTGACCTCACATGTGGGGACTCTCTGACATAGCAACCACAGCCACATTGCTTTCTGGCTGCAGCTGCCAGGTTCATACCCTTTGGCTAACCTGGGCCTGAGCTGGTCAGTCCAGCAAAAGGTTTGTCAATTTTGTTGATCTTTTCAATGAACTAATATGTAGGTTAGTTGATTTTCTCTAATCTTTACTGTAGCTTTTCTTTTGCTTGCTTTGGGTTTAGCTTATTCTTCTTTCTCTATTTTCTTTAAAAAAAATTTTTTTAATGTGTATTTATATTTGAGAGAGAGAGGAAAACGCAAGTTGGGGAGGAACAGAGAGAGGGAGACACAGAATGTGAAGCAGGCTCCAGGCCCAGAGCTGTCAGCACAGAGCCCGACGCGGGGCTCGAACTCAGGAGCCGTGAGATCATGACCTGAGCTCAAGTCGGACGCTTAACCGACTGAGCCACCCTCTTTTTCTATTTTCTTAATGTGGAAGTTTAAGCTATTGATTTTAGATCTTTTTTTTTTTTTCTTTTTAAATTGAAGGTTTTAGGGGTGCCTGGGTGGCTCAGTCGGTTAAGCGTCTGACTTTGGTTCAGGTCATGATCTCACAGTCTGTGGGTTCGAGTCCTGCGTCGGGCTCTGTGCTGACAGCTCAGAGCCTGGAGCCTGCTTCGGATTCTGTGTCTCCCTCTCTCTCTGCCCCTCCCCTGCCTGCATCCTCTCTCTCTCTCTCTCTTTCAAAAATAAACATTTAAAATTTAAAACAAATAAGATTTTAGAACTATAAATTTCCTTCTAAGTGCTTTGACTGTATCTCGTAAGTTTTGGTATGTCGTGTTTTTGTTTTCATAAATCTTAAAGTAGTTTCTAATTTCTCATGTTATTTTTTCCATGTGATTTCTTCTATGACTCATTAGTCATTTTAGAGTCTGCTGTTTAATTTCTACGTATTTGTGGATTTCCCAAATTTCCTTCTGTTATTGAAAACTTCATTACATTGTGGTCTGAGAACTTACTCTGTATGATTTCAACCCTTTTGAATTTACTGAGACTTGTTTTATGGTTTACCATATGGTCTCTTCTGGAGAACGTTCCATATATACTTGAGAAGAATATGCATTCTGCTATTGTTGGGTGGAATATTCTATAGCTGTCAGTACTTGGGCTTGACTTGCACGTCTGTGACTTTTATTTTTTATTTATTTTTTAATTTTTTTTTTCAACGTTTATTTATTTTTGGGACAGAGAGAGACAGAGCATGAACGGGGGAGGAGCAGAGAGAGAGGGAGACACAGAATCGGAAACAGGCTCCAGGCTCTGAGCTATCAGCCCAGAGCCTGACGCGGGGCTCGAACTCACGGACCGCGAGATCGTGACCTGGCTGAAGTCGGACGCTTAACCGACTGCGCCACCCAGGCGCCCCCGTCTGTGACTTTTAAAGGAGACTACCTTGGTCGAGGCTCTTTCTGTCTCATTGTGATAATAACATCTTGGTTTTTTTTTCCTGGTTTTAATGTAAGGGCTAGGAGCATTTTCTAGGGCAGTGGAGCTGATCACAAAAATTTATCCAGATTTTTTTTGGCCACCTTTAGCAGCACTGTGAACCCATATTAAGACAACAAGAACCCAAAGAGCAATCCAGGCCTCATCTATGGTTTTCTAAGGGAGCTTGTCTGTCTCAAGAGAATCTCCCTGAGTGGGATAAAGCTTCGATATAGCAGCTAGGACTCATTGGCAAAAAAACAAAAACGAAAACAAAAAGCTAAGCAAAGCTGAGACTTTTCATCATCATCTTGGCATGGGTATAAGATTCGCATGATAGGGGCGCCTGGGTGGCTCACTCGGTTGAGCGTCCGACTTCGGCTCAGGTCATAATCTCACAGTTTGTGGGTTCGAGCCCCACGTTGGGCTCTGTGCTGACAGCCCGGAGCCTGCTTCGGATTCTGTGTCTCCTTCTCTCTCTGCCCCTCCCCGACTTGTGCTCTGTCTCTCAAAAATAAATAAAACATTAAAAAAATGTAAAAAAAAAAAAAAAAGATTTGCATGATAGACTGTAGGAAGGACTGAGCTGTAAGATGGTCCAGCTGTTACTGTCCTTCCTTAACAAGCATCCCATGTCCTTCTCCTCATCTCCCAAGTGAGCCAACAAAATTCTCATGATTCATCTGACTTTGGTCCGTAGGGGTAGTAAATTTCCCTCCCTTCATTGTTCAGTGTGTATGTGCCGTCTGAAAGGGGCTGGAAACTTCCGTATGCCCCAAATGAGTCTTAGGGCTGGTTGTTACAACGGGGCAGACCCGAGGCTGCCTGCCGGGCTGTGGCCAATTACCCCTGCGCCCCCCAGTCCCACCCAGAGGAGAGTTAGCAACAACCTGGACAGCGTCTGGCAGCTGGCTTTGACCCTACTTCCAGGTACTCCACCTGCAACGACCTCCCTCACTCGTTCTCATGAACGGGAAAGGAAGTCGAAGGCCGTTTATTGATTGGTTGATTGTACGATTTGGTCAACCTGTGCGCTGCTGCTTCCCTTGGCCTTCCCCTCAACATGTGTTCATCAGCCCGTGAGGTCTTCATACTTCCTCTTACAGACAACTGTGCTTCCGTCAGCACCTCATCCTCAGTGCGAGAACAGTCCAGAACTGTGAGAGGGTCTCTTATTATTATTATTTTTTTTTGCAATTTATGATATTTACTTATTTTTTTAAATTTTATATTTTTTAAAAATTTACATCCAAATTAGTTAGCATGTAGGGCAACAATGATTTCAGGAGTAGATTCCTTAGTGCCCCTGACCCATTTAGCCCAACCCCGCCTCCCACAACCCCTCCAGCAATCCTCTGTTCTCCGTATTTATGAGTCTCTTCTGTTTTGTCCCCCTCCCTGCTTTCATATTATTTGTGTTTCCCTTCCTTGATGTTCATCTGTTTTGTCTCTTAAAGTCCTCATATGAGTGAAGTCATATATTTGTCTTTCTCTGACTAATTTCCCTTAGCATAATACCCTCCAGTTCCATCCACGTAGTTGCAAATGGCAAGATTTCATTCTCTCTGATTGCCAAGTAATACTCCCTTGTATAGATATACCACATCTTTATCCATTCATCCATCGATGGACATTTGGGCTCTTTCCATACTTTGGCTGTTGTCGATCGTGCTGCTATAAACATGGGGGTGCGTGTGTCCCTTCGAAACAGCACACCTGTATGCCATAGGGTCTCTCATTTCACCCTACTTTCAAATAAAGAAGGTGACACAATTTCAGGGATACTGGCAGAAGACATGAGACTTCTGGGCCAGAGATATAAAGGACTTCATTACAGCACAGCACGTGTTATGAACACGAGAATACTTGTCACTTCCCCTTACCCTCAGGTCTCACCAGTGCAGGTCTCATCCATCATATGGATGCCCACACACAGGGCCAGTTGTGTCACAGTAGAGGAACCCTGAGCTTGGGCTGCCCAGGGATTTCATAACGGGCAGTAAGTATGTCCGCCCTTTGCTCTAGAGGGAGCCGCTATCTCTGTTGTCCAAGGCTGTTGACTATACAAACGTCGTGGGAAAGACAGTTCAGAATAAAGGTAGTGTCTCTGCTCACGAAACCTGCATTCGTGTGAGAGGCTGGGCGACAACTGTCTCCTACCACCTCTCTCCTCACATCTCACCAAATCCCCACGGCCACCCTGCCAAGGAGGTGTAACTGACCCAGTTTCACAGATGAGGAGCTGGAAGTCCAGACAAGCGAAGGGAATTACTGCTGGTGGCAGAGGCAGTAAGCGGCGGATCCAGGACCAAAGCCGGGCCCACCTGATGCCCGACCTGTGCCTTGTCTACCCCCCTGCACAACTGGAGGCAGGGACGGGCTCTGAGGAGAGAGAGGTGATGAGAATCCCCTTGAGTAATGGGAGAGCAGGCTCGCAGGGAGAGTGGGAAGAGAGGAAGTGGGCCGGGAGCCAAATTCATAGGACCTTGGAGACCATAGGAAAGACTTTGGATTTTTGTCTAGGTATGATGGGGAGATGCCGGAGGATTTGGGGCAAAAGAGCGATATGACTTGATTTGTGTCTTTTTGTTAATGTTTATTTACTTTTGAGAGGGAGAGGAAGACAAAGTGGGAGCAGGGGAGGGGCAGAGAGGGAGGGAGACACAGAATCCGA